CAGGGCTGTAAAGATAGGGATGTCACATGGCCATGAGAGGCCTGCCACTTGGCCTCTGGCCTCATTTGGAGGACAGGGACGTGGGAGGTGGTAGCCAGAAGGCTTGTCATGGCTCAGTGAGCCAGGCTTGTCTAAATGTTCCCTCAATCGTCCCTACCAAGGCCAGGGCTTCTAAGGAGACCAGACTGGCCTTGAACTCAGAGATCTGCCTGCCTCTTAAGTGCCAGGATTAAAGGCATATGCCTCCATACCTGGCCTGAGAAAGGTTTTGTTAGTGAGGCCAGTGCCCTGTTGGCATGGAAGCCCTGGCAGTTTGCTGCCCCCTTCCTTACCCTGGTCATTTTTTCCACACCTGAGAAGAGGAGGGAGGGTGACCATGGAGAGAGACAGTTCAGGGACTGTGGGCCCCGAGCTGGGGATGGGTGACACTGGGAACCCCACTCTCAGCATACCTGCCTTCTCAGTCAGCTGACACCTGACCTGTAATGGCCACCCTGGCCTGCTGTGTGCCTGTAGACCAGGTGTGGGCAGAGGAGAAGGGAATCAGAGCAGGGTCCACTCAGACCCTGCTGTGTTTGAAGGCCTCTGGGCCTGGGGCAGAGTGGGCTCGGGGGCCACTGGTATAGGGCACAGAGCAGGGTCGGGGCTCTAGGCTCTTGGGTTTCCACGCAACTGAGGGCTGGGGACTGGAGGATGAAGATGTGCCGTGGGTGTGTGGGGGGCTGAGATGCTGTGGGCTGGAGCAGCTGTGCCGTCTGTAAGGGTCTCATAGACAGAGGTGGCGTGGGGCCTGGGCTCACAATCTTGTCTCTTCCAGAAAGGTCCCTGGGGCTCTCTCTGCTCAGTGGACCTGGGGGCCAGGGTGACTTTTTCCAGCCCTAAGACTGTCATTCCATGCAAAAGAAGTTAGTAGCCACCACAGGCAGAGCCCCAGCTGGTGAATCTTCACTTACCAGCTGTCCTGCCCAAGCCCTTGGCCTGATTATGAATTATTGTCTCCAGCTTGGACCAGAAGACCTTCCTAAGATTACACACCTGCCTGACACCTGCTGAGCCTCCCAGCTTCTCACAGCAGGACCTCTGCCTCTGTATCCCTAATCTGCCCGGTCAGTCACATCTAGAGCATGTGGCATGAGGCCAGGACCTCAGCAGCCAGCATGGATGCTGAGGGCCGCCTGCCAGATACACGGCCCTCCATGCCAGTGGGTCAAGAGCCGTCACCCTCTATTTGGAAACAGGGTTCAAGGAATCAGCAGGAAGAGCAGTCTTGCACAGGCTTCCCTTAGCGGGAAGTGAAGGCGGCCGAACTGTCCAGCTGCCTGCAGAGGAGGTGGGGGCCTTGGGATCCCCAGACGGCGGACCCCCTGCTCTGGAAGCTGCCGTGCAGCTGTGTGGACTGGCTCTCTTAACACTTGTTAACCCCGGCCTGGCCCTTTCTACGCTACCCTTCCCAGCACTGCTTCCTGAGCCCTGTGAGTCCCCTGTTGGGGACTGATTATCCACTGTGCCCAGGAGCAGCGGGAGCTTTAATTTCTTCTGTAGGGTGAGTGCTTCTGGAATTGAGCTCTCTCAGCCTGCAGGGTGTGACTTTCTAGCTTTTAAGGGGCCTAGTGTGTGTGTGTGGGGGGGGGGGTTCACTCAAGGATCGAGGCTGGGGATGTTTTCTGACACCACAGCCATGAAATTCCACAGGGGTCAAAGCCAGGAACCGGGCGGGGTGTCTGGGCTGGATATCCGGAGTCTGTTCTCTAAGGGACGGGAGAATTTGAGCCCGGCTTGAAAGCAGAATGCAAGAGCGGAGACTAGGGATCTCCCGGAATCTTCCGCTACCCGGATGGTCAGAAGTGGGCTGGGTAGGGTAGCTGCCAGGTGACAGGTGTCCAGTGAGGCCTCCAAGCAGCCCCTCCACCCACTTCAGCATCTGCTGTGTGCTGCATTGGGGGAAAGCTGCTGGCCACACCCTGTCTCCTGTCCATATCAGGTGCCAATGGTGGTAGAGTGATCTGGGACACACACTCACACTCATGTTCCTGATCCACAAGAACCACTGCGTGGGTTCCACCCCTTGCCCATCAGCCTTCAACACTCTGGGAAGGCGTGGTTGGTGTGGGCAGCTTGTTGAGCTTTCTGAGGCTTCTCGGTGGCCAGAGTGGATCGAGATGTCCTGGCATAGTTGCTGCCCACTTGCCATCAGCTTAGCCTCCCAGCATAGACAAGAGGACACTGGTGCTGGCTAATTGCCAGTCTACCTCTAGGTTCAGTAAGAGACCCTGTCTCAGGAGTCTGGCGGAGAATGATGGAGCAGGGTACCTGATGTCTGAGTTCCAGGCCAGATTTGACTACATAATAAGACCCTGTCTCAGGACAACCAGCCTGGTCAGTGGGTAGGTCCAGTGGCCCTTGCCGTTATGTCCTAGGACCTTGGTGGTGGAAGGGGAGACTGGCTTCCACGTGCATGCCATGGCATGTGGATATGAACAGACACAGGCACACACTGGGAGAATCTCAATCTGTGTTCCCTCTCCCAGCCACTGCCTACCTGGTGGCTTAGGCTTGCACACCCTCCAACCTGGTAACTCCACAGGGGAAAGAGAACCTCCATCTGAAGGTGTCTAAGAAGTCCCAGGGAATGCCAGCCGGTGGTGGCATGGGCCTTTAATCCCAGCACTCGGGAGGCAGAGGCAGGCTGATCTCTGAATTTGAGGCCATCCTGGGCTACAGAGCGAGTTCCCGGACATCCAGGGCTACACAGGGAAACCCTGTCTCAAAACACAAAACAAAACAGAAACAACAACAACAAAAAAATAAATAAATAAATAAAAGGGAGAAAGAAAGAGACCCATCAGTCCTGGGGAAGGTTATGACTGGCTCAGGTGGGCCAGTCTTTCCTCTTCTCACCAATCTTGGTGGCCAGGGCTCCAGGAGGCTCTGGTTGGCCAAGCAAGGAGTGGGTCTACCAGATCCCCCTGCATGGGCAGAGAACTGGGGTCCCCACCAGAGGAAAACGTGTAAGAGCGGAAGTTGAATGGGAAAGAGCTGGTTTAGACATCTGCAAAGTGGAGAGATTTGCTGCTGGACTGTAATCAGGGTCCTGGGCTGAGCTGCCAGAATGATTCTGGCCTGAGGCTCTGGAACTTTGCAGGCTGGAGTGGCCAAGGTGGCCTCGCATGTACCTATGTGCCCCATGGTGCTGCCAGGGACAGCTGGCACCCTAAGTGGGACACTGTGAGGGCTAAGGCCACTCATGTCAGTGGGAGAGGGCTCCAAGGGCTGGCCTCACCTGCCCTTTGGCTGGACCTTGGCACAGGCATCTCTCTGGGCTGTGAGGAAGACCAGAGACAGACTCCATGTGGAGGTAGGATAGTGGGGTTCACTGTAGACAGCTGGGAGCGCAGGGTAATGGGGGTCATGGTAGGGAAGCTGACCACTTGCACATGTGTGAGGGTATAGAGGCTGTGCTTAGAAACAGGGACACACATTTTTGAGTGCTCACTACCTAAGCACTCCTTCACTGACCCTCTCACCCGCCCACCCCTTCACCCACCCCTCCACCCACTCACCTCTGCAGCCATCTACCCTGCTGCCCACTGTCCACAGGGCTAACATGGCTGAGCTCCTTCACTGGGAGAACACCAGGATGTAGCAGGAGAAAGACTCCTTCTGGCGGGCCCCCCAGAGCTCCCACTTTAGCATGGGGAGCCAGGCTAGGAGCAAATAGATAAATTCTGATGGAACAGGGAGCAGGGCAAACAGGCAGGCAGGGACCTGGAGTCTCCCACGGCAGCTGGCAGGCTCTTCCCTCATCTGCAGGGGACCTTCATTCCTCATGAGGCGACGGGGGTACGTAGTGGGGTCCATTGCATTCTCCCTCTGGGGTGAAGCTTGGATGCTCTGCCCCCTCTGGCTCCTGAGCTCTGTGCCTCAGCTCAGCTGGGCTTTGGGGAGTGGGCCTAGCCCTGGAGCCTGAAACCTCCTAGCTGCCTCTCAGTGATGTCCTTCACCTGTCTGTTGGGGCTGTGGGGCGCTAGGGCCTGAACTGTAAGGAGTTCTGTGTTTGCTGTGTGGTCTTGGGCAACTGTGGGTCTCTTTGTGCCACAAAGTGTTTCATGTCCAAAGTTCCCAGGCAGCAAGTGAGCCAGAGTCAGGACTGCACGTACCACTCACAGCCTGTAGGGTGTGTGTGTCCCTGTGTGGAGGGCATTCTCATGGTGACACATAGAACTGTGGTCCAGCTGTGAGTCCAGATAACATAAACTGTGGACAGAGGACGTGGCACTACTCAGGAAGGTGTCATGTTAATATCCTCCTGGGACCTCTTTCTAGAGCGAGGCTCCTCCTTGCTGATCTCAACAAGCAGTGGCAGTTGGGCCAGTGTGGGGCTTGGCGTCAGCCGTGAGGCCTTATGCTCCTAGTTGATGGCCAGAGCCTCAGATGAGCTCCAACCTGGTTGGGGGCCGGTGGTGGGGGTGGGTCGTGACCTCCGAGAAATGGACGTGCAGAGTAGCCTGTTCTCCCGCCTCCTTCCCCTGTAGCACACCTTCCCTGGAATCCCACCTTACAAGCCCGTGCTCTCCAACTGTCCCCTACCCTACCCCAGTTCCCAGGGAGCAAGGGGCTCTGGCTTACCCTGACCAGGTGGACTGTATGCTGGTGCTGGGCAAGGCTGCTGGGCTCACCGTTGACCTGCACTAAGGAACAGCAACCCTCACTCCCCAGGAGTCTTGGGGGATCTGGTGCTGGTTCCTTCAAGGAAGTGCCCCCCAAGTCCAGAGAGACCCAGGCAGCCTCTGCTTCTCGGGCTGTCTTCACAGGGAGACAGACCCAGGCAGCCCTTTCTCACCCCCCCAGCTCCCCCCCCTCAGGGTAGGTCTTCAGGTGCAGCCCAGACACAGTGCCTCTGTGGAGGAGTGTTTGGGGAGCCTGGTGGTGGGGAGAGTTCAGCCTGGTCTTCTAGGGGCTTCTGCTTGCTCCTCCCAAGTTTCGGCTTTCTTTTCTCACAGGCCAGCCTGGAGCAAGCCTACAGCAGGTGCCTTGCCTCCCACTTCCCATTAGAGGTGAGCCCCAGGAAAGAGGACTGCCACTGCAGAAGGGGGGGCAGGCTGTGGGCCCTGAGCCATGGAGAGTCCCAGGGGAGGGCTTGCTGACGTGAGGGAGAGTGGGGGCTGCTGGCTTGCCTGCCTAGTGCCAGAGCACAGTGAGTTGATCCTGTAGCTGGAGTGCTGTGCCCAGAGCTGAGAAACATTGGGTAACCATGGCAACAGGACAGGGTGGGTGTGCTGGACCCCGGAGCTCTACACTCTCTGCCTTGGTAGTCAGGGCCAGAGCCACTGGGATGTTGATGGGGACAGAATGCTGTGTGGATAGGAAGATGAGGTACCCAAAGCTAGGGGAGGTCCCTGTACCTCAGTTTCCCTATTTTATTTATTATTATTAGTTTTGTTTTTCGAGACTGGGTTTCTCTGTGTAGCCTTGGCTGTCCTGGATCTCGCTCTGTAGACCAGGCTGACATTGAACTCACAGAGATCCGCCTAACTCTGCCTCTCAAGTGCTGGGATTAAAGGCGTGCGACACCCCCCACCCCCGGGCAGTTTCCCTATTTTAAAGGAAGGACATTTGCTAGCTCATGGGGAGTCACAGGGCCCTGGGGAAGCCTGGTACCTGCTCTGTGCAAGGGTCTGAGGATGGTCGGAGAGGACAGAGAGGTGGTCCCAGTGAGCTGAGGACCCAGTGAGATGAAGCCCTAGGCCACCATGCTCCCACATAGCCTGAACCCAAGCTCCCCTCATTCAAGGCCTCTGACAACCCTATCTATTGACAGGCCATTGTCTGCTGCCGCATCCCCGCCCATCCAGGCTCTCTGGGAATGGTCTTGAAGATGTTCCGGGGCCCTGTTGCTGATCTGAGGTGGCCAGCCTGGCTTTACACTGTTTCCTGAAGCTCTGTCCCCCACTTGCATGTCAGGGGACCAAGGGTGGGGCGGCAGGGCGGCCGGGGAGGCAGGGCGGCCGGGGCGGCAGTGCGGCCGGGGCGGCAGGGCGGCTGGGGCGGCAGGGCGGCTGGGGCCGAGCCAGCCGGCCGTGTCTGCTCCAGCGAGCCACATGGACAATAAAAGTGAAATTGCTTTGAAAAGAGAAGTGGCCAGGCTGGGGGAGCAGGGAGCGGCGTCAGAACAGGGTGTGTGAGGCGGCGGGCTGCACTCCGCGTGGGGGTGGGAACGGATTTTACTAAACCCCAAAGAAATGTTTCCATGAAATTCCTTCTTGTTCTTGCCTGGTTTTGGACATTCTGAGAAGAATGATTCTGGGGTTTGGAAGGCTGGGCTCGAGGACAAGGCCATCAGCTGGGTAGGGTCTGGGGCCCATGTCCCTTGCCAGCTCCTAGCTCCCAGTGCCCCTGAAGGCTTCAGTCACTAGTGTGGCCCTCCACAGCTCTTTCTGTAGCTGCCTGCTCTGACATGATGTTCCCAGAACTCCTGGAGAGTGGGGGCTGGGAACTCAAGCCAGGGTGTTCCACACCTGGGTCCCCACAGGTGGTCTCCTCAGGTTCGTGCACCAACTCAGGCCTTCGAACATCGTGGATGGCCTGGGTCTGTGCCTGTGTCCAGCACAGGCTCGGACCCTGCCTGGGTACCTTGGGCAATACTGGGGAACGTGGAGGCGGCAGGATGGCAGGGTGGCTGGGCTTGGGCCAGGCCTGAGATGGAATGTGAGGCTGAGGTGTAGCCAGGGTGGGTGGTGAGTGGCCTCTGGAGACTGTCCGGTCCAGGGTTGCTGACGCACTGGCTCTGATGACTCATGGGCCGGCCACCATGACTAGAGTAGCTGTCTGGAGATTCAGACGGGCTCAGGGGGGCCCACCATGTGGCCGCCCACTGTCTAGAATTGTTCTGAGTAATGGGTCCTCCCTCCTCCCAGTGCTGGTCCTGGTGCTGGCAGAGGTGACCTTAGTCAGCCCAGGCAAGACAGCCCTCGTGTCCATCCCTGCTCTGGCTGAGCTGTGCCTGTGTGCACTGTGGGGGCTTGGAGCACTGCAGGGCGGCTCACCAGGACAGAGTGGCCATGTGAGGGACTTGCTAATGTCTAGGGGACAGGAGCTCAGCTCAGGCCACCAGCTGCAGAGACCAGAAGATCAGAGGCACTACCGGTCACGCCTGCTGCCTCTGCCTTCGAGGCCCAGGCCACCCATTTCCTTGGGGGACCTAAACTCTGGTCACCTCTCTGGGTCCCCATTTAAAACAATTAATTACATTTATTTTCTCATCCTGCCTCTATGTGTGCATGTGCACACATGACATTGGGTGCTTTTAGAAGGCGGAGGACAACCTGTGGCAGTTATCTCTGTCCTGTGTGTGTCCTGGGGATGGTCAGCTTGTCAGGGTTGGTGGCAAGTGATTCCACCTGTCGAGCTATCTCAACTCTGGGTCCCCCCACACCCCCCTTTTTTTTCCCAAAGAAGGTAACAGCAGAGGACTCTGGGAAACAGAGGCGCTGGGTCATTCTTCCTCCCTGGGCAGTACCGTCTGGCTCCTTGGCACTCTCGGGCTGTCCTCACCAGTGAGAATGTGGATTGGCTCATGCTAGTTGTGCCCTGAGCACCTCCCTGCCACCTGAGGATGTGGCACTGGCCACCTGTGACAAGGACCCCCAACACCCTCCCTGCTCTACTGCTTATATCCTCAGGCAAGCAACCACAGGTGGACAGTATTGGGAGGAAAACAGGTCCACACTGCACACACAGGCCTTTCATTTTTTAAAAACCCTTTTATTTAATCTTTGGTAAATTCATGCTTGTGATCCTATGCAGCCCCCAACTTCTCCACCCACTACCTGCTTTGTGTTGTGCGTGTGTGTGTGTGTGTGTGTGTGTGTGTGTGTGCGTGTATGTGTTCGTGTGCGTGTGTGTCGTGTGTGTGCGTGTGCGCGTGTGTCGTGTGCGTGCGTGCGTGTGTGCGTGCGTGTGTGTGCGTGCGCGTGCGCGTGTGCGTGCGCGTGCGTGTGCGTGTGTGTGCGCGCGTGCAGCTGCTGCCGCCTGCTGGGATGCTGGCTGAGCCTGTTGGCTTGCTCTTGCTCTTGTGTAGCCATTTGCAGGGGACAGCGCTTCCCAGTCTTCCCCGTCCTCCAGCTCTCGCATCCCCTGTGCTCGGCTTCCACAGTTTCCTGAGCCTAGAGAGTGTGGGGGTAGATGTCCTCTCCAGGCGAGCACCCAGTCACTTAGTCTCTGCTCTTTGACCAAGCTTCTGCGTTAACTGCTGCCCAGCTTTGGTGGCTGTGACTGAACAGTGCTAATCCCAGAGTGTAGAGAGAAGCATCGTCCTGCAGGCAGCTTGACAGCATGTCTGTTTGACAGGACCGCTATAGGAGGGCCCTCCGCCCCGCAGGGCATCCGCCTCTGGCTAGGTGTGAAATGCCAGCAAAGATGCCCTAATGCAGACGGGTTGTCTGTGCGTCCCCGGAAGCACCGTCCCTAGTAGGCAGCAGGTAACTGCTTGGTACCTGCCCCTTCCCCAGACAGTGGCCGAGGGAGACCCCTAAGACCTGGGATACGCACATGCTCGCTCTCTTGGCTACCTCGTGGTCCTGGATACTGGATGCTGGTGCTGTGGAGGAAGGCAGAGTTCAGAGAACCGCACTGGGCCACACCCCACCCCTCCTGGATCCTGCGACCGACTCCCTTTGCTTATTGTGAGTTAACCCAGAATAAACCCCTTTGACTGTCAGACGGACTCTGGAATTGCCTCGTTACCTTCCTGTAGACCAGCCACACGTCCAGTCAGAGCAGCTGTCCAGCCCTGGACCAGCAGCCGCCAGTGCTTCACTGACTTGCTTCTCACTGGCAGGTCTGTATAATGCAGGGTCCAGCCCTGGGAAGGAGGCTGTTGATGGCTTTGTTCCCTGTGACTACATGGCACCTTGGGCACTGTGGAAGCCAGGCAGCAGTGACTTCCCCTTCCTTGTTATTCCTCACGTAATGCACGATGACGGTCACACACACTGCACGTAGATTTCACTAGGTGCAGTGTCATCTGGAGATGACAGAAAGTGGATTAGGGTTAGGGTGACAGGCTCCATATAGGTGCGTCATGATGTAGGAACATAAGTATCTGTGGGTTTTGTTGTCCATGGGGTTGCAGGTTCCATTCCTCACAGGTTCCAAGTGACAGCCCTTTCCAGGGGGAAGGGTCAGCATGGTGCCGCTAAGGCATGAGCTCCTGCTAGCGCCGAGCATCCTCTCAGGTCTCAGGGGCTCTGCTTCCTTTCCTGTTAACCCTCAGCGCCAGCCTCTGCATCATCCTTTATTTATTTACTTATTCGTTTATTTATTGATATATGTGTTTCGCATGTTTGAAAGTCTGTATACCACGTGTGTGCAGCGCCTGTGAAGTCCAGAAGATCACCTGGAACTGAGTTAAACATGGTTGTGAGCCTCCATGTGGATGCTGGAACTGAACCTGTGTCCTCTACAAGAGCAGTGAGCATTGTTAGCCACCGAACCATCTCTCCAGCCCCTGCATTTTAAATTTTTATTTATGTATATAATATACGTGTGGATCTATGTGAGTGTATGCCACATGAATAGAGGTACCTGTGGAGGCAAAAAGAAAGTATAGGATCCCCTCGGGCTGGAGTTACAGGTGGTTAGTTGTGAACCACTTAGGGTGGGTGCCGAGAACTGAACTTGGGTCTGCAAGACTTGCAGGTACTTAAGCGTTGAGCTATTGCTCCAGCCCCAAGCACCATTCATCAGGATGCAGGTTTTCTATTAATTTCATGATACTTTTTACATATGGAGAATCATAGTAGCTCGGTGTCCAAAGGACGCATGCTCCACTTGGTGCATTACACCTGGTGCAAAACCTTTCTCCTGTCCCAAATCTCCTAGAACTAAGGAAAAGTCCCTAGGTGACTGTGGAAGTCTTTGCCTCTCCCTTTTTGTCCCTTCCCAGGAGGATCTGTGGGCTGTGGAGCTGCACGGTGACTCCAGAGGATCTTGCTCCCTTGACAGCTGAGAAAAGCTGATTCAATGTGTCAGAGAGGTCTCTTGCCATATACTTTATATGTCCACTGGTCTTTTAAGAAATTATTATTGTTGTACTTATTTGTGTTTGAGGGTGGGGCACGTGCCACAGTGACTGTGAGAGTCAGTTCTCTCTTTCCACCATGTGAGGCTCAGAGACTGAACTCAGATTGCCAGGCTTGGCCACAAGCACCTTTATCTACTGTGCCATACTGCCTGTCCCACCTATCCTTATGGATGCTAGCTCCTTGCCAGCTGGATGAACAGCTGCACTGTGGCCCCTCCCAGACCTTTCATCTAGGGTATACACAGGTGCCCTGTCCTCCTGCTCCTCCTAAAGCCTGTGACATCACAAAGCAGGGTCACGTGTGTGAGTAGAGGACTAAATGAATGGTGCAGGGTAAGAAGAGGACCCGGGGTCACTGGCTCCTGGATCTGGCCCAGTCCACCCTGGCACAGGCGGGGCTGAGACACTGCCCTGCCTCAGGGGTCACTGGTGTTGGTGGCCCTCAAAGCTATATCTCCTAGCTGTTGGGCGTCAACCTGGCTCAGGCTAGCCTGCAGCTGTGGCTGACTCTGGGGACCCCAGTGGAAGAGGGTGTGTGTACCAGCCCTCAAGATGTGGAGGAGGGTCCCTGCAGTGGGACACTGCTACTCCAGGGGTAGCCAGCCTGTGAGTCTCTGGTGCTTATTATTTGTTACATGTATTTATTTGGGGAAATGAGTGCCCTTGTGTGGAGGTCCGAGGACAGCTCACACGAGTCTGACCTCCATGTCTGCGGCTTTCAGGGGTCGGCTTGGCACTTCCCCATTGAACCATCGTGCTGTCCTCTTACTCTGTTTCAGTGAGACAGGCTCTTACTCAGCTCAGGATGGCCTTAAACTTGCAGCAATCCTCCTGTCTCAGAACCCTGTGAGCTTGGAAGACAGGTGTGTATTTTAACCAGTTCCCCTCCCCCAGGAGGGAGATGCACCTCTATCTTCCGAGAAGGAGGGTGCACAGGGTCACACAGGCTGTCACCTCCCCACAGTGGTTTGGTCTGTGGCTTCTGCCCTGACGCAGGCCTCCACTGCACTGGACCAGATAGGCTCAGGCAAGCATGGAGCTTGCAGGCCTCCATGGACACAGACTCCGGCCCCAGAAGCCTCATTGCTTCCCTCAGAGGGGCGGGAACAGGTGTGCCAGTTCCAGCCTCCACACAGCTCTAGGTTAGTTCCTGTCCCTCAGCTCTCGATGCCATGGCCCCATCTGCAGCTGGGACAGGAAGCTAGGCCTGTGTGCTTTGACAATCTTTGGCCCTGTTGTACAGACTATATATCCACTGAGTGCCTCAGTTTCCCCAGATCCTTGTAGGCTCATGAGGGATGTCGTCAGGAGCCTAAGCATCCCAAGACTCTGGAGACCAAGCCACAGAAAGCCCTGGACTCTGCCCCTGGAACTGGCCTGGTGAGGGTGGCCCTGGGCCCTTGGCCTGTGATGTAGCACAGAGCATCTTCCAGAGTCCCTGAGTCCCAGGTTTGTTGGGGGTTTGGGAATCAGAGAGTAGGGGCTCAGACTGCCACAGTAACCTAGCCAGAGTACCATTGTTCTCAAAGAAGACAGAGGTAGGTGCTGAGATTGGCACCCTCCACCTGGTCCAGGAGAGACCGCATGACAAGCCAGAGTCTTGGGTCTACCTGGACGCCTTCCCTCCCCAACCTCAGCAGCCAGGCACCCTACATTGTTGGCCAGTCCCCAAGACTTTGGCATTAAGCGCTGATCCTGGGCTTTCCTGCCACCCTAAGGACTCATGGCTTCCTATCCAGGGCAGCCTGTACCTCACCACACCACAGACCCTTATGCTGGGTCTGAGCACCACCACCTTATCAACATTGGCAGTGCCTGGCCCTGAAGTGCCTCTGATCCTCCGCCTGAGGGTCTCTAAGGGCCACCAAATTGGGCAACTGGCCAGGGGACTTGGGAGTCAGGGTGCTCTGTGCAGCTGGAGCAGGATCCAACTCTGAAAGCTCCTTATTTGGGGACTGATGGGTTGGGGTCCCAGAACCTTCCCTCCTCTTCATTTCTTGGAAAGTCCAGTGCCCTGCATTCCTGGCCCAAGAATGAAAGGGCAGGTCCCCAAGGGTTGATGGAGAGAGAGAGAGAGAGAGAGAGAGAGAGAGAGAGAGAGAGAGAGAACGAACAAGAACTCAGCAGGGGGAGGGAAGAGGGAGGCTTGATGGAGGCCCTCAGCAGCACTGCCCCTCCTGTGTTCCAGGGGGCAGGTGTTATGTGCAGAGCTTCAGCAAGGGGTATCTGAAGGGAACAGCAGGACTGCTGCTGGGGGCTGGACAGGGGGTAAATTGAGTCAAGGAAATGAGGACAGACCACTGATGAGTGTGGTGATATATTGTGTACCCTAATAAAATCTGCCTGAAGATCAGAGAACAGAACAAGCCACTAGATTAAACATAGACGCCAGGTAGTGGTGGCACACACCGTTAATCCTAGCGCTTGAGAGGCAGAGATCAGTCTGGATTTCTGTGAGTTCAAAGTCACCCTGGACCACATGAGATTGACTCAGTCTAGGAGAGAAACAGAGCCAGGCAGTGGTGGCACACACCTTTAATCCCAGCACTTGAGATCTCATGCATTTGCTCAGGAAGCACACATGCCTTTAACCCCAGGAAGTAATATGGCAGGGCGGAGAAAGGTACATAAGGTGTAAGGAAACAGGATCTAAAGCCTCTCGACTGAGGAGTCGTAGAGGTTAGAGGTGGCTTGTTCCTTTGTTTCTCTAATCTTTCAATGTTTACCCCAATTTCTGCCTCTGGGTTTTTATTAAAAGACCTTTTTAAGATTCGCATTATAGATGGGCTTGAGGGTATGCTCATCTTTCGGCTTTCCTTGCTTTGTTTTAGACAGTCTCACTGTGTAGCCCTGGCTGTCCTGAACTTGCTCTGTACACCAGGCTGGCCTTGAACTCACAGAGATCCATCTGCCTCTGCTTCCCCAATGTTGGGACTAAAGGTGTGGGCCATCACACTCCACCTATTTGTGTTTATGAAATAGATTAGTCCTGATCCACCTATTTCCATTCCAGAGTGCTGGGATGAAATGTGTACAGGCCCTTACTGGGGTTCTAGGCCGGGGCTCCACCCCTGAGCCTCGCCCCAGGGCAGTCCTTTTTCAGGTAGACAGTCTTGGAGTGTTTCCTGTATGGCACAGGCTTCTCCATCCCTCCACAGGAGACCCTCTTCTCCTTCTACCTCCTGTGCTGGCTGCCCTGCATCCCCTCTGGGTGAAGTTGTCTGTTGTGGCGTTCTGTCACTCAGGATTACAGTTCCAAGGGTCCTCCATGTCACTGTGTGACCCCACTTGGAGGTTTCTGAGTCATGTCTCCTCTGCTGTCCCTGCAGCCTGGCCGACAGGAACGGGACCCTCAAGTGCACCTTCTCTGCAGCTGGCCACAGCACTGGCCTCCTGCAGGGCCTGGCTGCCCTCCGTGCACAGGGCCAGCTGCTCGACGTGGTCCTCACTGTCAACAGCGAAGCCTTCCATGCGCACAAGGTGGTCCTGGCGGCCTGCAGTGACTACTTTAGGTAAGTCTGGCCCTGGGGACTTGAGTTCACACTTCTGCCACCTCCTTGTGTTAGAGACAGTGTTTTACCATGTGGCGTGGATTAGCCTCAGCTGCACAGTGCCCCCAGTGCCCCCATCTTCTGGCGTTGAGGCGGCAGGCATGCCAGCACACCTGGCCTGTGATTTCTTTCTAAGTTTCTTTTATTTTTCAGTCCTCGTGTGTACTGAGTAAGCACTCCCTCTGTTTTTAAATTTTTATTCATTTTCATATGTTTGTGCATATGCGTGTGCGCGCATATGCGTGTGCAATGGTGAGTGAATCACACGTGAGCCCTGGTGAGCGTGGAGGACATCGTGTAGGCACCAGGTCTTTCCTGTCACTGTGTGGGTCCTGGGGATCAAACTCAGTTGTCAGGTTTACCAGCAAGTGCCTTAACCGCTGAGCCATCCTGCAGGCTTGCCTGCCCCTCACCCCTTTTTCTCTCTTGAGACAGATCTCATGTAGCCCAGGCTAGCCTCACACTCACAATGTAGCCCAGGATGTCTGTGAACTCCTTATCCTCTGCTTCCACCTCCGCCTGTGCCCAGGCAGGCACTGTACCAGCCAAGCCTCAGCCTCAGCCCCTCATTCAGCACCTGCTGTATGGCAGGCATTGTGCAGACAGGCCATGTGTGCCCAGGAAGGACAAAGTAATAATGACCCCTTGCTGCCGTGATGGCTCCTCCAAGTCACCAAAGCAAACAGCTGAGGGACTGGAGGGGGTGGAGCCGTGTGCCCCGGTGTCTGTGGGGCTCTTAGAGACCAAGCTCTTCTCCTGTTTCCCACGCCTCGGGCCCGCGTCGACACATGGGAGTCAGAACTAAAGGCCCAATGGAGCTGGCTGGTTCGGGGTGCCCCCACAGCAGGGTGGGAGCAGCAATGGTTGCCCTTACAGACCTATGCTGTCTCCTTCTCCCCGAGCTGTGACCCCCGTTCTAAGAGGACCAGGTCTTCCAGGTCCACTGCCACCCAGGTGTGTGTATTGGGCCACATGTCCCTCTAGGCCCAGCTGCCCTCCCTGGGGCTCAGTGAGGCCGTTCTGGGGAGGTGCTGCAGCCAAGCCAACTGGGGCATCGATGCTATTTTTACTCTGGATTTGGGGGCGGGTGGGTGGCCCAGCCAGCAATGCCTTTTAAAGGCACCCCCGCTCTGGCAATGTAGCCCATGAAGCCTTAAAAGGCAAAACTCCATCCTGTCAACTGGTCTGGCCTCTTTTCTCACTGAAGTGTCCAAGGGGTGGTGGGGACTCTTGAGGGACAGGCAGGGGCCAGATCTGGGAGCTGTTCCTCATGGCCCCAGGGAGGCCCTGGATACTGACCCACAGAACGATGCCATTAGGTGGCAGCCCCTCCATGGCACCCATGGCCTCCCTCCTGGTGTGACCTGAGCCTAGGCTGCATGAAGCATGTACCACTGTGAGTGGGCATCGTCTTTGATGATGGGGGGTGTCCCTCCCTCTCTGGCAGTGTCAGGAAAGCCTGCCCACAGTTATGAGGGCTGCTCTGGAATGTCAAGACTGTCACCCAGGGATCCCACAGACCCTTTGAGTACAAGCCAGCCCTCTCCTTCTTCCTGCTGGAAGCTGAGACTTAACCCCAAGTCTTCCCAGAGCCCCGTGTATGGGTCTGCATCCCCTCACCAGCTGTCACATGGCTCCAGAAACGCCTCGCAGGGTTCTCACACAGGCTGAGGACTGAGCTGATTCTGGGCCATGTGTGGGCATGAGTGAGATCTCAGGCACTTCTCCCTGAAGACAGCAGTAATGGCAGGCACCTCTTGGGACCTTTGCAGCAGGCTCGGGGAACAGGGCAGGCCTTTGGTCTCTTCACAGATGCAGCCTGGGGAAGTGGGTGCTGGATTCTGCTAGTGGTGGGAAGCGCAGGCTGGTCCTGTCTCTGGGGCTCAAGGCAGCAGGACCTGCACATCTGCAACTGTGTCTCTTCAAGAGACCCACGGGTCAGCCTTGAGGGCTGCAGGGCCCCATGCAGTGTGCCAGCAGTAATGGCTGGCCCCCTGCAGCTGCACAGGGTCAGAGAGGCTGGGGTGAGGGCAGAACACAGCTTGGGCACACTGACAGACCTGCTCACGGGTGTGTTGCCACCTCCAGGGCCATGTTCACCGGCGGCATGCGCGAAGCCAGCCAGGCAGTCATCCAGCTGCAGGGTGTGTCTGCACGAGGCCTGCGCCACATCATTGACTTTGCCTACAGCGCTGAGGTGACGCTGGACCTGGACTGCGTGCAGGACGTGTTGGGTGCTGCTGTGTTCCTGCAGATGCTGCCAGTGGTGGAGCTATGTGAGGACTTTCTGAAAGCCGCCATGAGCGTGGAGACATGCCTGCACATTGGCCAGATGGCTACCACCTTCAGCCTGGCGTCCCTGCGTGAGTCGGTGGATGCCTTCACATTCCGCCACTTCCTGCAGATTGCGGCAGAGGAGGACTTCCTGCGCCTGCCACTTGAGCGCCTTGTCTTCTTCCTGCAGAGCAACCGACTGCAGAGCTGCGCTGAGATTGACCTGTTCCGCGCTGCTGTGCGCTGGCTGCAGCATGACCCCACCCGTCGCGCCCGTGCCAGCCTCGTGCTGCGCCACGTGCGCTTCCCGCTCATGCAGCCTGCCGAGCTGGTGGACAGTGTGCAGACACTAGATGTCATGCTGGACGACGCCCTGTGTCGCCAATATCTGCTGGAGGCCTTCAGCTACCACGTGCTGCCCTGTCGCCAGCATGACATGCAGTCGCCACGCACAGCTGTGCGCTCGGATGTAGCATCCCTGGTGGCCTTCGGGGGCACGCCCTATACCGACAGTGACCGAGCGGTCAGCAGCAAGGTGTTCCAGCTGCCTGAGCCTGGGGCCCGCCACTTCCGTGAGCTCACGGAGATGGAGCTGGGCTGCAGCCACGCGGGCGTGGCTGTACTGGATAACTTCGTGTACGTGGCAGGTGGCCAGCACCTGCAGCACCGCAGCGGCGAGGGCGCTGTGGATGCCTGCTACCGTTATGACCCGCAGCGCAATCGCTGGCTGCGGCTTAGGGCGCTGCATGAGAGCCGCGTGCAGTTCCAGCTCACAGCACTTGGTGGGCTGCTGTACGCCACCGGTGGCCGCAATCGCGCAGGCAGCCTGGCTTCCGTGGAGCGCTACTGCCCGCGCCGTGACAGCTGGGACTTCGCCTGCCCGCTCAAGCGCCGCACCTGGGGCCACGCGGGCGCCGCGGCAGCTGGTCGCCTCTATATCTCAGGCGGCTATGGTGTCTCTGCCGAGGACAAGAAGGCGCTGCAGTGCTACGATCCTGCAGCCGACCGCTGGGAGCCCAGGGCGCCCATGCGTGAGCCTCGCGTGCTGCACGCTATGTTGGGCGCCGCTGGCCGCATCTATGCCCTAGGCGGCCGCATGGACCATGTGGACCGCTGCTTCGATGTGCTGGCGGTGGAGTACTACGTGCCTGATGCGGATCAGTGGACCAGCGTGGCCCCTATGCGCGCTGGCCAGTCGGAGGCCGGCTGCTGCCTGCTGGAGAGGAAGATCTACATCGTTGGTGGTTACAACTGGAGGCTGAACAATGTCACGGGCATTGTGCAAGTGTACAACACCGAGACAGATGAGTGGGAGAGAGACCTGCACTTCCCGGAGTCCTTCGCGGGCATCGGCTGTGCCGCTGTCCTGCTGCCCCGTGCTGGCCACAGGAGGTAGCTCTTATCCTGGCCTGGCTGTGTTCCGCATGAGTGTTAGACCCCCCACCAGCCCTGGGGGTCCCCACGTCTCACCCCCGAGCCAACAGAGATATCTGGTCCCAGAGGTTCGGGCACCACGGCAGCTACTGCCCAATGTGCGTCTCTGTGCTGTCCTGGTGGCTCAGCCTCGATTTCCCTCAATCTTGACCAGACACTCAGAAGTAAGCTTGTGGACACAAAATATCCAAGTCCCAGTGAAAACCGCCCTCCCTGTCTTCTGGCTGGTTAAAATTCCAGCTGCCCAGTGGGTAAAGGCACTGCCCCAAGCCTGACATCCAGAGTTCTGTCTTGGGACCCACAAGGCAGAAAGAGAAACTGACTTCTTGAAATTGCTCTCTGATCTCCATGTGGCACCATGGCACACATGGGCACACAATCAAAAGAGTGTAAATCAGGCCGGGCGGCGGTGGCGCACGCCTTTAATCCCAGCACTTGGGAGGCAGAGCCAGGCGGATCTCTGTGAGTTCGAGGCCAGCCTGGGCTACCAAGTGAGTTCCAGGAAAGGCGCAAAGCTACACAGAGAAACCCTGTCTCGAAAAAGCAAAAAAAAAAAAGAGTGTAAATCAACTCTCCTGGTACCTGGGCAACCATTCAGGATGCAAGAGGCAGAGGGTGCCCCAGAGGCACCCTGACAGGCGGCAGATACAGAGACATGTCTTCACTCCCAAGCTCCCAGGCCTTGCTTGACATGTGCACTCCAGGAGCATCCCCAAGAGGCTCTCTGGCCAATTGGGAAGCCAGCTTTCTCTGTGTCCATCCACCTTTCTAAGAAGACAGCCACGTGAGTGCAGTGGCCTGTTCCAGTGCTCTGGAGGCTGAGCTGGGAGAATTATTGCAGGTTCTAGGCCAGCCAGGGCCACACACACACACACACACACACACACACACACACACACACACACACACAGAGAGACAGAGACAGAGACAGAGACAGAGATATCCTCTCCCAGAACAAAACCCACAAACACCAAAACAGAGGAAACACACAAGCCAACTCTATCAGGTGAGTGGCCGAGTCTGACTCCAAGTGTAGCCTGAGGCTGGGGGAGAATGAATGGCCCATCTCCCATGTTGCCTGCAAATGGCCACACTCCCACGTCTGACCCACCCGTGGGTCCTAGACCCTGGGGTGGGAGGGGATGCTGTGGCCGTGAGCTCCAGCCCTCCCGCTGGGGCGTCAGCCATGTTTGTTTTGTTGCTTAAACACTGAAGTCTCACCTTGGTGTTTTGTTTCTCTTTTATTGCTGAAGGAAGCCAGCCCCACTGTCTTCCAAACAAGATTTGTTCTCTGGCGATTTAAAGTGTCTCTTGCTGCTCACAGACAGAGGGATGTCGCCTTTGTGTGACCCCCTCACTGCATGAGTAATGAACCCTCTCCTTTGCTGTGGGCCTCTGCTGATCAGTCCTTTTCTTTAATAAAGACTGCGGTGGAAGGGTGTAGCCGACCTGTGCTGAGCACCTGCAGCCCGCCTGCCTGGCCTCTGGCTTTGGGGCCCCTTCTCCCAAGGAACAGGGAGCTGCAGGATGCCAGAGCTGAGCAGTCTGGAAGAGGGTGTGCGGGGGGGGGGGGGGGGGGGGGGTTAGTGAGGGCCTCCAGGTAGCTGCAGCCCCCCAGAAGCTTCTCTCACTGTTCAGCTGCACACCCCAACTGCAGATAAGCCTCCGAGGCCGTGACAGGGCAGAGTCGGCAGGGCCTGTCCCCACCCTCCCAGGTGTCTGCTGTCACCCTCCACCTCACCCCAAGGTCTCCGCCCCACTGCCCTGACCATTGTCTTCAGCAAGGCTCAGGCAGTGGCTGCTAAAACAAGAGCTGATGATGGGTGGAAGGGAGGAGCCAAGGCCGCAGGGGCATCCAAACGGAACCCACCACGACATTCTAGCTCCCCACAACCTGAGCTTTCCCCCAGAGAGAATACCTCCATCGAGACACACAGCCCTGCAGAGGGCAGGGTGAAGTGTCTGCCAGCCACCAGTCCCCCAGATCACATAACACCTCACAACATCTTGTCCCCAATGAACTGGCAGGGACTCCTGCAGGGGCAGGGTGGGCACTGCTGTATCTAAACGGGGGTGGGGGGGTGGGGGGGTTGTGCAGAACCATCTGAGCCAGTTTATGGAATGTTCTTGGGGGCCCGCCCCTTCCTTGGCGCCCACTCCACCTCCCTAAAGAAAGGAAAATTATTTTTCGTATTGTAAACTTTAAACATGAAAAAGCTGTTTTTAATTAGCAGAAGCTGACTTGCATGTTCAGTTAGTGAATGTCTGTGTCCTTCCAAGAAAGGGAAACACGCCTTTGTACTGCATATGTACACAACACACACACAACTGAATGCAAGGACACACAGCAACTCATGAGCTCACACAATCAAGCCAGACATGTCCACCCCTGTGCTTCCGTCTGTGCAACACTTCAGACACACACATGCTCTCACGGATGGTTAAAGGCAAACCCACCAGGCCAGAGGTAGGCCTCGGGGGTGGAGCCCCGCCTAGTAGAGTCCTCCAGTGAGGGGCTGGGGGTGTGGCTCAGGGGTGGAGCCCCGCCTAGAATCCCCAGTGAGGGGCTGGGGGCGTGGCTCAGGGGTGGAGCCCTGTCTATAATCCCCCAGTGAGGGGCTGGGGGCGTGGTCAGGGCTGGGGGCGTGGCTCAGGGTGGAGCCCCGCCTAGAATCCCCAGTGAGGGGCTGGGGGCGTGGCTCAGGGTGGAGCCCTTGTCTAGAATCCCCAGTGAGGGGCTGGGGGCGTGGCTCAGGGTGGAGCCCCGCCTAGAATCCCCAGTGAGGGGCTGGGGGCGTGGTCAGGGGTGGAGCCCCGCCTAGAATCCCCAGTGAGGGACTGGGGGCGTGGTCAGGGGTGGAGCCCTGCCTAGAATCCCCAGTGAGGGGCTGGGGGCGTGGCTCAGGGGTGGAGCCCCGCCTAGAATCCCCCAGTGAGGGGCTGGGGGCGTGGTCAGGGTGGAGCCCCGCCTAGAATCCCCAGTGAGGGGCTGGGGGCGTGGCTCAGGGGTGGAGCCCCGCCTAGAATCCCCAGTGAGGGACTGGGGGCGTGGTCAGGGGTGGAGCCCTGCCTAGAATCCCCAGTGAGGGGCTGGGGGCGTGGCTCAGGGGTGGAGCCCCGCCTAGAATCCCCCAGTGAGGGGCTGGGGGCGTGGTCAGGGTGGAGCCCCGCCTAGAATCCCCAGTGAGGGCTGGGGGCGTGGTCAGGGTGGAGCCCCCCCCCCCCGCCTAGAATCCCCCAGTGAGGGGCTGGGGGCGTGGTCAGGGGTGGAGCCCCGCCTAGAATCCCCCAGTGAGGGGCTGGGGGCGTGGCTCAGGGGTGGAGCCCCGCCTAGAATCCCCAGTGAGGGGCTGGGGGCGTGGTCAGGGTGGAGCCCCGCCTAGAATCCCCAGTGAGGGGCTGGGGGCGTGGCTCAGGGTGGAGCCCCGCCTAGAATCCCCAGTGAGGGGCTGGGGGCGTGGCTCAGGGGTGGAGCCCCGCCTAGAATCCCCAGTGAGGGGCTGGGGGCGTGGCTCAGGGGTGGAACACCCCCCACCCCCCACCCCCGCCTAGAATCCCCAGTGAGGGACTGGGGGCGTGGCTCAGTGGCAAAGGGCAGACCTAGTATGTGTGAGCCCCGGTTTCTAGCCTGTCCCATACACAGAAGCCAGCTCCAGCATCTGGCAGATGCCCTCTTGCTGGTCGGTAGCAGCCCTGCCCTGGCCTCTTTGCCTTTTATCGTAAAGTCTTAGGGATCTGAATCGTCTGGAACCTAGGGGCACTGGGCTGCTTCCTGCTTCTTCTAGAGGCCTGGCCAAGGTCCTCAGGCGCCTCCCTCCACACCTGGGCTCTGGCTGTGGGAAACTGCCCTCTCAGGGGACGGCGGTTTGCAGGCCCGAGAGACAGGCCAAGTGTGACTTCTAGGGCCTCGCAGTGAGTCAGGCCAAGGGGGCCTCCAGGGAGCCGTGTGAGGTGGGAATCTGCCTGGACCTGGCCAGCTTGGAAGCCCGCCCCTGGCTCTGCTTTCCAGAAGTCAGCTCCAGCTTGAAAGTTCTCACGGCTCGGATCCCCTGCGCTCTCCCAGTGCTGGCGGCACCTGGCTGGAGTCTCAGCAGCCTGGGACCTAGCCCAGGGGGACCTGGCCAGAAGATGCCCATACACAAGAGAGGTGAGTGCCAATCAGCATTCCAACTCCAGGTTTGTGGCACTCCCGTGCGGGCAGGGCCCCTGCTAAGCTTGCCTTCCAGGGTTCCCCGGGGCTGACCCAGCAGCCACAGCTCCCTCCTCACCAGCTGAACTCTGATACGCTGCCAGCAGCCATGTGCCCAGCCGCAGGGGTTGATTTAAGATTCGGTCCGCACCGTTCTTGGCACTGCTGATGGATGCGGTTGTTTTCAATCCGGGCACAGCTCCCAGCTCTGGCCAGCAAGCTCCAAGGGGTCGGAAGTTTCTTTGGACAAGAGGGAGGCTTTGCTGCCCCCTCCCTCACTTGCTGCTTCCTCTGTGGACAGGATGCCAGGAGCTTCTGCAGCCATCTTGTGGCTGTGATGAGCAAGGTAAGTGAATTATGGAGACATCCCTGCCTCCTAAACCCTTAAAGTCACAATTCATCATCCCATCCTGGACCTTGGACCTCAGACTCCTTGTTATTCAAAATGCTACTTAAGACGCAGCAGACAGATTTTTGGATAGCTGAAACCAAACAATTCAAAATTAGGGGCCAGCAAGATGGCTACGTGACGATGAGAATTCACGCCCAGACCCACGTGGTGAGGGGCAGAACTGACACCTGCAGCTTGTCCTTTGACCTCTGTGTGTGTTCCATGGCGTGCACACACGCCAAGCACGTGCACACCAAACAGAACATGGCACAGCAGCTAAGAGTGCCATGATCAGATCGCAGCACCCACAAAGAAAACTGTGGTCACGAGCGTCTGTAACCCCAGTGCTGTGGCGGGTGGAGACCCCAGCTCCAGGGTCCACGAGGGATCATAGAGCAGGACGCTCATTCTTCTGCCTCTACTTGTACACGTACACATAATGTGAATGTGACGGACCAGGCATGTAGCTCCATGAGAGTGCTCCCCTAGCACGTGTGAGGCCCAGCATTCAATTGTGCGGTAACACCCTTGCACACAAAACTGGGCATGGTGGTACACACTTATCATCCCAGCATCCTAGAGCTGAGACGTGAGGATTGCAAGTCTAACCCACCCTGGGCTACATAGGGAGAAGTGAGTAGCTTCCAGAAGTGGCCAGGGGGCTGAGTTAGGGCTGAGAAGAAGCGAAGGGATGAGGTGCCAGACGCTGAGCTGAGGGGGTGTCATAGTCCTGGGTGCCGAGGGCACTTAGGTTGTCACTGCACACCACATTGGAGGACAACTCTCAGGAGCTGGTTGTCTTCTTTCACTAGGTGGGACCCAGGGACTGAACTTAGGTCATCATGCTTGGTGGCAAGCTCCTTTGTCCATGGAGCCATCTTGCCAGCCCTGTTCCACTATTGTTGAGTAGGAAAGCCCTCGACTGGTGCTCCAGGGTCTCAGTAATGAAGTGTCTGACACCATGGCCAAGGCAACTTCAGAAGGAAGAGTCCGTGAGCATCATGGCAGGGAGTACGGCAGCAGGCATGGCGCTGGAGCAGCAGCTGAGACGCTACACACCGAGACGACAACCACCAGGTAGAGAGCACACTGGGAATGGTGGACTTCTGAAAGCTCACAGCCAAACCAGTGACATGCCTCCTCCCACAAGTCACACCACATCATCCTCCCCAATTCCACCAACTGGTGGCCATTCTCACTGAGACCACCATACCCAGTCTATATCCTCTGCCTATATTTCTGCTTACAGGAGAGACAGCACATCTGTGAATCAGTCAGCTACTGCTACATAAGAAAAAGACCCAGCCAGGCGGTGGTGGCGCACCCCTTTAATCCCAGCACTTGGGAGGCAGAGGCAAGTGGGTCTCTGTGAGTTCAAGGCCAACCTGGTCTACAGAGTGAGTTCCAGGACAGGCACCAAAGCTACACAGAGAAACCCTGTCTTGAAAAACCAAAAAAAAAAAAAAGAAAGAAAGAAAGAAAGAAAGAAAGAAAAAAGAAACAACCCCATAGCTAGGTGTGGTGGCACACCCCTTCAACCCACAGAAGCAGGCAGATCCCTGATTTCAAGGCCAGCCTGGACTTCAAGAGAGCATTCCCAGCTGGGCATGGTGGCCCATGACTTTAATCCCAGCAGACAGATCTTTGAGTTTGAGGCCAGCCTGGTCTACAGAGTGAGTTCAGGACAGCCAGGGATACATAGAGAAATCTGTCTCAGTAGCCCCCATTCCCCAAAAAAGTAGTAAGAGAGCATTCCAGGACAACTAGGGGTACAGAGTGAGACCTTGTCTCAAAAAACAAAACAGAAGACCTAAGAAACAGCCCTGCACAAGTTGTTAACACATGGTTCTCCTGTGGGTGAGT